ACATTATGTTTCAACGAATACTTCAAACATCTCTGAAATCATCCTTCAAAACTGTATACCTGCACAGCAGCAATCAAGAACAGTAAAGCACACCAAACCATCCCAGAAGTCCAAATAACATACGCTTAGGGTGAATTTATTATAACTGATTCAAATAAATATGACAAATGAGATTTCATACCAAATAAATATGATAAATGAGATTTCATACCTTGATTGTTGTATCTGCATGCCCAACAAAAAGTTTTCCTTGCGAATAAAGCAAAGTAGTTACAACCGAATCACCAGCTATAGTTCCGATTTGTGTGACATCCACTCCCGACTCGTCACTTGATAGTTTCTGCAGCTCAAGAGATTAAGCTTTGTAACATCACCAATAGCAGCAAGGAAATAAAGAAAAGATTACACACACAAACACATATTTATATGAAGAATCAAACGAGAACAGGGTCAAAATAAGAAAATGAGAATGGCTAAATCACATGTGATTTTAAGAGATTACGGAACAAGGTCAGCGCAAGGGTGTGCAGCCAAGGTCGTGCATAATCACATGATTTTACATGTCAATTTAGTGTAAAATCACATGTGATTTGGTCATTCTCGTGTTCTCTTATTTGGTCATTCTCGTTTGAAACATGACTCTCTCTCTCTCTCTTTATATATGTATATATATATATATATATGTGTGTGTGTGTGTGTGTGAGTGTGTGTGTATAGTCATACATGTTCAAATGAGAAAGGAAAAAAGGTTAGAAACATGCAAATAAATGATTCATCCATGAATAATTGGTAAAAGGAAACGCGCATCACATATGCACGTTCTTAACCTTTCTCGTTTGAACCTTCCCCTATATATAGTTGTATGTATAGGTACTGTGTACTTGTACATGTACCTGTAGAACAACAGTCTTGTTCCAACCACCACTAAATAACCAATGCCTGTCCATATAAATGGAGAAAATGGAGCTCGTGTGTGCGGATATGGAGTTCAGAGGCACGTCGTTGTTCCACATCTGTTGGCAAAAAACGAAGCAAAATGTTACTCCAGTTGATAAATCAAAGATTTAGTTGAACCTTGAATTTGCTTCTAATTCCAATGAAAAAGATTCCAACCTTCATAACCAACCAACATAAATGCAAGTTTTGGGTGGACAAAGAACAGTAGGTTATATTAAGACAAATAATACTAAACTAAAATAGAGTGATCAGTAAATAAAACCAAACCATAAGCGGTTCATGTGCGATTCTGATCAATATTAGGCATGCTTTATAGCTTGCTGATACTTGAAAAATTGACATCCAATAAGATCCATCTCACTACTAACTTTAGTGGCCAAATGAAAGATAAGTTAAAGATGTTAGAAACCTTTATGCATCCATTTTCATGGGCTGCAACAAGAGTCTGACCATCAGCAGCAAGAGATAGAACAGAGCCGCAGGTCAATGCTCCAGGAGCTTCTTCGCCTAACACTGCTAAAGGGGTGTGATCATTTAGACACCATAAGCGAATGGTTCCATCCCAACTTCCACTGTAAAGAACCTGATTAGAAACCGCTAGTGTAGACACCACTGCTTTATGACCAATCATAGTACATGACAAACTATAATCCTGACAAAGACGAGAATACATCACAAGTTATAAAACAAACAGAACAAACCCAGTAATCCCACTCGAAAGCAGGGTTGAGATGTATGCAGACCTGACCTTTACCTCAAAGACAGGGACGGACCCAAGGGGTTTTTATGATGGCACATGCCTCCATTTCGTTCCTCCGTCGTAGTGTAAAAATTATAAGGTTGTGAAAAGTGCCACCGTATCAATTTGTTGTGTGCCACCGTATATATTTTGAAACTATAATGAGAACACACGTTTCCCTTGGTAGAGTTGGTTTGCAAGGCTTTTCTTCCACCCCAAACCCGAGTTCAAATCCCGTTAGTATCATTTTGTTAGTTTTTCGCTTTTAATTTCAGATTCATTATGTTTCTGAAAAAAAATTGCAATAAAAGACTTCAACGCAGGACTTCACATATGAACAGCAATGAACTAACCAACAGACGAATGATGATTTTGTGAAAAATATCCCTATATTTGTTTCTTATAGTCAAATGGTATTGGTGCCACCGTTTGAAAAGTTTCGGAGTCCGTCCCTGCTCAAAGAGTAGAGCGGCTTTTTCCGTGAAGACCCCCGGCTTATGCAGAAGTGTGAGCAAATAGGTATCAAGAATCAAGATTAGCATATGATGAACAAAGCACACGAAATATAAGAAAGTGAAAGTAGCTAATAGGTATAATGGCCCGATACAAAAGGCAAGTGCTTATCTATGGTTAGCTGAGTTATGAACTATATCTGCTTACAAATTATAGTGTTTCATTATGATGCTATAAAATCAATGCTGGCTGAACTCAGATTCAAGGCCTAGGTAAGAATGTAATTCTAGGCAATAAATTGACCACAAAGACATGACCTAAAGCTAATTTGTTTGTCTTTCAAGAAGTAGCATTCCACGTGATGTAATGTGAAAACTCCATACGTATCTGATCATATGTTATATCATCTATTGAGATGCTGGGGGTGGGAGGCATCCACATAATCTGGAACAAGTTAAGATAACCCAAAGCAGCCACCGCTGTTGTGATTTGATGTTCAATACAAGCCTATGGGCGTGAATAAAATAAACATTTATTTTTGTGTTTATTCAAAAGTGAAAGGTTTAGTGTTACAATATATGTAAGTAGAAAACTGTTATACCATCGTAATTGTCCATGGCACCTTCAATAGTTAATTTCACAGTTTCTTATTTAAAGTATGATGTTTACAACATGCTTCTATGACATCAGTGGAGTTTTACACTTCTTTTTGCTATATGAACTGTAATCGGTGGTTTGGTTTGGATCCACTGAATGAACCAGAAGGTTTTCTGTACAATCAATCCTATGGGATTCATGTATGTGTTTGCCATCTCTTCTACATTAGGAAAGTTAATGAATATATGTTCGGCTCATTATGTGTTTGTTATTCCTTCTATATTAAGCAAGTTTGTTAATATATTCGACTCAACAGGTGATACAGAAAGCTGAGCCAGCAGTTCCTTCTGCTGAATTGGCAAAGGAGGTTGCTAAAACTGTCTCGCCTCCTAAAGTTGATTTTGCAACTGATCTTTTTGACATGCTTTCAGTTGCAGGTGGTCCTACTGAGAAAGGTCCAGAAGCAGCTCATACGGATGATAATATATGGGCAGGATTCCAATGTATGTCTTCCGTTTCCTTAGATGTAGTTCTCATGAGTAGTAGCAGCTCTCTGTTGTCGTTATTATGACTCCCTTTTGTCCAGATTAATTGTCCTTGTTGGAAATGACCAGCACGCTCAATATTCTGGACCTTATATAACATAGGTAACGTAAGGCAATACCCACACAGAGCAAAACAGGCGAAAACACAACCTAGCCTAAACATCCAGCCCTCCACGCCATCCCAACTTTTTATGTCAAGCTCAATATCTCTTAAAAGTAAAATGATTTAAATTCCATGCAGCAGCTTTTTATGTCAAGATCAACTTTTTATACAGCAACATTTGTGCAAGTTGATGCAGCTAGAGACTTGTCACTAAAAATGAAGAGTTAAATAAGAATATGGGAGACAGGGATTAGTAACCAGAAGATAAGGCAAAAAGCAGTACAAGCCTTACATGCATTGACCAGGCTTTTATTGATTTATCCCCACTGCCTGTATAAAAAAATTCAGATCCAGAAACAGCTAACGCATGAATACCACTATAGCGCCAATCTTTTCCCTCGTTCAGTCTTTTGATTGCCTTCTCCTCAAATGGAACTTTAATGCCCCAGATGAAAATATCACCTCCATTATCAGCACTAATGCACAAAGGTGGTTCTCTGTTTACAAAAACTACAGCCATGACCTTATGCTCATGACCCTTGAATGTATGTACATGATTAAAACCCTGTATTGATAACAGAAATTCAGTAAAAAGAAATAAATAAGAACACAAAATCAATAATCTTTTATATCAACCTTACATTTCTTTATTTCGTTTTTCAGGTTGTATATTTGGATGTACAATTATATCAGGAATTTATTCAAGAATGATGCTTTAAGAATCATAATGTCAAAAAACTTTTGGAAAGAACTTCATTTATCTGAACTAGATAGTGCATATACTCTGACAAAGGACCTAAGGACGGTAGCATCGCAAGTGGTGGTTTCCCTGACTTTGTTGATGGATCCGTGAGGGGGCTGGTGGAAGCTGCAACGAGTGGCTATTTAGAAGACTAAGGGAGCTCATAAAAGAGGCTGAGTAGTTTCACGTGGCGTTATTTAGTGCCAATGCATTGGCTCAAAGGTGGGTTAAAAGGTATGTGGAAAGGTTTGGAAACCAAGACATGGTCTTGATCACCATATATGAAGTTTGGATGGGTTTGATTGTAGAACATGTGAAGAAGCAAGGGTTTCAACATAAAGTTGAAACCTTGGAAGAGTATTTCACAGCAATAACACCTCAACCCGGCATTAGAAGTTAAAAGTGGCATGTTGGCTAAAACATCAGGAGGTTTGGACCTTCATAGTTCGGTACAAAGATGGCATAAAGCCATCCTGGAAGGGTTTGTTCTCAATTGCATTTGGTTGAGCAGATGATGTGATATTTATGTTTCAGTTTCTTTTTTTTCTTTCCACCTTGAGGACAAGATGAAAGTTAGGGGCAGGTATTGTTATATGTGGTGTTAAATGGGTAAGTACAAGTAGATAATGCATTAATAGTACAAGTAGGTAACGCTTGGGCTTGGTATAAATAAGTGTGTGAGGGCTAGGAGAAGTCATTCTGTTTGTAACCCTTTCTTCGAGAATCTGTGGAGAGAGACTGGCCTTTCGAAAGCCAGAAACCCAACTGTAACCATTCGATTTCGCCATTAATCATTCGATTTCATTTGCCATTCCATCTTATTTATTTTGGTGTACATCAAAGCACTTACCAGGTAAGCATTTGGTAAACGACCCCTAAGTCATAAATACAACCATGAAAATCCATCCCAACAACTCATCGGCTTCCTAACATCTTGGCAGAACCTCTTTGACCATATTCCACCAACGGAAAATATACTAACGTCAACTTTTGCCTACTGTTAGCTTATGTTGGAGGGATGGGAGAGAGTGACGGCATAGCTTGTAAGGAATTTATTTCTTCCATTGGAGAGTGGTTGTAGATATTTTTCTAAATTTTCTTGTTGGTAATAAGAGAATTAAGATGATTCTATAGATTATTGCAGACAACTCAGAGACGGTATAAACATTTTTCCAACAAGTGTTTGATGTAGATTTTATACATAGATAATACATAGTAGCACTCCCTTGATCTCTAACGTTTGACTTTTGAATATTATAATATAAACATACTAGAGTAAGAAAAAAAAAACAATTACATATATCTAGGCCAATTTTGAATATTGGAACTACTCATTTCATCTCTCAAATGAAGGGTAGAGACTTTGGGAGAGGTGGAGAAATGGGGGACGGGCTGTTTACTTACAGCTTAGGCTTTAACTGGCTTATTCAGACAGACACTATAGGGTGTTTGCTTACAACTTAATCAAAAGAATATAGCTTATTCACACGGCCAGAATACCTCTCTTGAGTTTTGTCCAGATTCAGCCGAAAAAGTTACCTCCCTACCCCTTGGTTAAAACACGCTCCATAGAAGGAAACAGAACACGCTCCATGGAAAAAAGAAATACCCTAGCCGCTCCCTTCTTTCCCATGTACTCTATCTTCTCCACGACGACCTTGATTCCCGACAAACTTTGCTCCACAAGACGTATCTGATCTATTTCCTGTTGATTTGAAGAACAGTAGTGACCCATAATGTGCTTGCTTTTTTGTAGCTTTTCTTGACATACTTGGTGTACTTGCTTTTCTATTACTCATCTCTTCTTGGTGTACTTGCTTTTCTTTTACGTGGTTTTTCTTTTTAGGTTTGTGATCAACAGTACCATGTACATCATTAGTATCTTTTTTTACTTTTTGAATATGATTAATTTAAGTTAATAAAGACTAGAGAACTGATTATGATAAAGTTATGTTCAAACTAGCATGGTGATGTTTTTATTTAGAACTACTAATTGACTATGTTTAAATGATATCAATGAATTTATGATATTATGTTGTTGATGTTCAAATAGTTTTTATGTTTCAGAAATGTCATTCTACTTGAAAAATAAACAACAATTTATCCAACAACGCTTAACTCATGCTGTCATGCTAAGAGGTAAATCGGTCATTTATATCATTCAAACATTTGATTCAGGAAAGAAAGTAAATAGCAACACAGTTTTGTAACCCATAGAAGGCTTAATAGAAAAATTGGTAAACAGCCCAAGTACTATTATTTTCACCTAATAGATCATAAAAGAAGACCAAAAAAATATACTTAGGTATAAATGGAACTCTCGAGCCTTGTTGAAAATTTTCTGAATCTCCCTTGTCCTTTGGCAGTTCTCTAATAGAAAACTTAGATTAGCCACAGATAGAAACTTAGATTAGCCACATGGTTGGTTATTTCAATTTTCAGAAAGTTTATGACTGGTATCAGGACAACGATAAAAACCGTATTACAACCTGATAAAATATATAAATTGAACATAAAACATATGATGCAAAAAGAACTGGTGTAATCACTAGGAATGTTGTATCAAGATGCATACCTGGAGCGACCATACGTTGACTGTTTTATCAAATGAGCAGCTGAAAAGGAAGCCCCCTGTAAAATTGAGATAAATGATCTCTCTTAGATTCACAAGATCTACAAACAATGTTTGTCCATTTAAGTACATTGGGAATATTCAAAATGCACAAATGAAAAAGGTAAAACAAAAAATAGCAAGTTTATAGGTCCAGAAAATGGCAAGAAAAATAATCTCCATTGAATTGAATAATTGAATGCAATATGATCGTAAAGTCGAATGATTTATCATTACAGATCTTGACTTACAATGGAGAACATTGAAGATGGAGTGCTTGTAAAAATAACTGACATTCACAAATTAGAATAAGAGAGGGAGTCCTATTTATAGCGGATAGAGGAAAGAGTGATTTTCTTAAATGCCCCACAAGTTCATCCTTTTAACACTTTCTACACTAACTTTGGGACTAAAATCTCCCCCTAAGTGTTCTAAAGGAATGAACAATTAAATTGAAAATTACTATATATCAAAATACACCGTGTTATCTCCCAATGTAGATCAAATGATGAGATTTAGACTTGGAAGTTATTTGATCCTTGACAGAATTTCAACAGCCTATTTCGGGTTGCAAGAAGCTATTTCCGATGAAGTTTTGGTTCTGAACTATGCTTCTTGATCCGTTTGTTGTTCAGAAGCATTTTCTAATGAAGAACGGATCCAAAAAGGTGAAGAGGCACATGTGAATAGAATAGATCAAGTTTTGTCATTTGCTTTTCAATATTCTAAGAGTTCACGTACAAACTGTTAAGATTTGCTTTTCAATCTTCTGTGAGATCTTTGTTCATATAAGTATGGTATTCGTAACATATTGTTAAGGTTGCTTTTCAATCTTTTGGGTCATGTGTACATGAGGATGATGCTATATCATGCTTTTGAGTTGGATTACAGGGGGGGTACATCGATGGAACCGATGAACACCCTTGACTCAATTTGTCACCTAACCCCACAAGCAATAGAGGTCCACTCACCATAATCCATCCAAAATGCACTGTATATAATCATGTGAGAGTCCTACTCTCTCCTACTACTTGACTCGCACCATGTGCACACCTTTCAAGATGACTTTGACAACTACATTGGAGATCCTCGTGAAACGTTAATACGACAATAAGTATGTAACATAGATCATATCCAATTAAACATGACAGAACTAAACACGTCAATAAACTTTCGTATAGAAGAAGCATAAAAGTGGACTTAGTTGCATTTTACAACAGCTCCACAGAGGTCCAAGTAGCATATATTCTACCTAAACAATTGATAAGTTCAATCATTTTGAAAGCTTGTGAGCAAGATGAGGATAGAAGTTTGTTAGTTACTAGGGCTAATTGAAATTGAAAATCTACAATAAAGAGACTTGTGGATTTCTTATTTTTTGTAAAAAGGTAGACAATAATTCTTTGTTTTTACAGATTCCACAACATCAAATTCTCTCTCATAAAAGATTGTCTCTCCTCTCCCAGCGCCTTTTAGTCATGTCTATAGCCAGTTGCTAAGACGATTCCCACTCAAGCATTCTCATTCAACGGTTTCTGAGAATAACACATGACTAGTTGTATAAAGTGTGTATACACGATTAGTATTGTAAATCAACTCACTTCTAACATCTTCTTGAAAAGGAGAGATCATAAATCTTACAAGCTATGAACTCCACTAAGGAACCCCCATAATTGGAGGAAAAAGAAATGTCTTCTAAGGCTAAATAAAAGAATTACATGTTGATTTGGTATTATGACCAAAATTTTCCTATGAAGGCGCCATTGAGGAAGATAGAAGGTATGGCAGTTTAGGGGTGAGGAGGAAGATAGATAGTATGGTGGTTGAGGGGTGAGGAGGAGAATAGAATAGTATGTGAAAGGAGCAGCTGAGGATGGATATGGCAGCCTTACACATTTCCAAGACATGACCATTGATAGGAGCACTTAGAGATGTAGGACTAGGGTAGCAAATTAAGTGGGGGGCCCTGTAGCTAACTAACATGGACAGGAGGAGGGAATTTGGAGAAGATAGAAGTGGTTAGGGGGTGAAGAGGTGGCACTTGTGTCATCAGTGTTAGATGGAGAGTTTTCTTAGTTTTTCTTACTTTTCATGTCTTATGTATGCATCAGAGCCCTTATATTGTATCTCAGTCTTTATTATTTTTCTTGCATTTACCAGAATCCGGTCTTAGAATTCCTCCTGCCCTCATGATTCTCAGTTCTAGGCTTTGAGGTTCCTTGTTTGTTTTATCATATGCCCCCACATGTGTCCCTGCTACCTTCTGTTGTCCATTATAACTCTTGCTTGCTTGCACACACTCCTCTGCTACTTCTCTCACATCTTTCCTTTTATTTTTATTTTTTGTTTTGCAATTCAGGGGTCTTCAAGGAAACAGCCTCTCTACCGTTGGGGTAGAGGCAAGGTCTTGCTTACAATACCCTCCCTAGACCCTACCTCTAAGTGAGATATACCAGGTTCATTTGGTTTACTTTTACTAGACTTTTCATATAAGAATTTTTAAGTCAAAAAGGCAAAACAAGCACCATACAATGTCCAAAATCAAATCAACAACTTAAATAAAGCAAGCATAACAAGAAGAGTTGACACGATAAAACAAGATAGAAACCATCATCTGTCAACTGACACACAAAAAACCGAGGGGAAACTTGTACGAACTCCCAATTGACTAAAAGACTTATTATTTTTAAACTTATTTCTAATTCCTGGTCAACATAACAGCTATATAAATAGTAAAGAAGAGAAATGTATGCCACCATTATTTAGAATTACAGAGATCCTAAAGGAACCATAGAATATTGTTTCTGTCTATTAAGAACAAGTGAAGACAGGTAAAGCAGCAAGTGTAAATAGAACATCTTCATAAACAATGTCAAACTCATACCTCCAATAGCTAATCCAGAGATGCAATCAAGATGACCTTTCAAATCAGTGCATATCAGAGAATCCTTACAAAAACCCTCAACGACATCACTCTCAACCACCAAGTTTTCGCCTTTAAATTGATTCATCATGCCATCCTCATTGTCAACTTTATTGGTTTTATTTGATGACCAGGACAAATCTCCTAGAAGCAAGCAGTGGCACGTGCTTTCATTTGTTAGCTTCTGCTGTGAACTTCCCATTACATCAAACTTTGGTTTGATAATCAGTTCCCTCAAGCACTTCCAAAGGTCCACTACAAGCGGTCTACTTCCCGGGTCGAAACACAAACATTTGTGCAGTAATTGCTTCATCAATACATAGCCGGAACCCAACCTAGCATCTAACAAGCCAGAAACTTTATCCAACCAAGCCATGTATAACCCTTCACAATCATGAGCATTTCCACTGATTAATGCAGGTATATAACTGAACAAGAAGTCGTGTGTCTCCTCAACAAAAGACTTTCCAGCTAGAAACAAAACTAATGTACAAGCCAGTGACCATACATCCGAACTATAGCCAACAAAAAATGTTGACTTGGCAAATTCTAAGTCAACACCCTCTTTCTGTACAAACTGCACCAACAGCTCTGGGCTAGGAAATACATGAATCTCTAAACCATCATTGGTCGAGGCCATGGCCAATTTTTTACTGTCATCATTTTGTGCAAATGATACAGAATCTGTGATCATCTTTTGAACTCTCCACGAAACCATCAATACCTCATTTAAGTCGATAAAGACATGCCCAAAATCATCGATACAATAGCATGACAATGAAGTACAACCAGAAACTAACTCGGTCTCATGCAATCCACTTATTGCTTCGCAAAGCTCCATACCAATCATAGCCAAACTAGATACATCATATTGGACGTCAGAAACAATCACATCCAACAAAATAATATTTTTCCTTTCACACACAAGATATAAATGATCATCCTCCTCGTTGAACCACAACCCATAAGGAGTACAAATCCGATAAGACTTCAAACTACACGTTAGAATCAACTCGAGTTCAGATAATGCAGCATCCTTCATTTTAAACAAAACCCACATAGCTTTCGCAAGATAACTATACTTAAATCTGTACTCAACATTATCCATAAAAGAACCAACTTTAAACAGACCCACCTTATGATTTCCTTTAAACCGGCACCTGAAGGATGGCCCAGTCGACTTCTTCAAATTTGTAACACTTCCTTGCAAAATAGACCCATCAAGAGCTACACTTGCGTCGATCGAAATTGTGTCCCGAGGAACAACCCAACCCTTCCAGTTATTGTGAAATTCATGAGACCATAAATTCGGTATGAAGTCTGGGAATGATACGATGGGCTTTTTGGGACTGGAGTTGAGTTCCGTGGGATTTGATAGGATCAGAGAGGAGGAGATGCGGAGTAGGTCAATGTTTTTGGGGAGAGCAGAAGGACCTTGAGGGTGTGGGTAGCAGACTAGTTGGGTACAAGCCGGACAGCGTATGGTACGAGGAAAGGGTGGTTTTGGAAGCTGAAGGAGGCAGGCCTCGCATGAGGAGTGGCCACAGGCGAGGACGCGTGGGATTGTGGATTCGCCATCGAAGGGCTGGAGACAGACCGGACACTCAGGTAACTGCGGCGGCTCCATGGCTTTTCAGCGGCGGTCCATATTGGCCGGGGGTTTTACGAACGACAAGGAAAATGGTACAGAGGACAAATCAACTTCTGGTCAACCCAAGAGATTGTTGTTAATCAGGTGTATATTGCTGAAACAAACGCCCCATTTTTGGTGTTACAAGTTTAGGAGTAAATTACATTTTTGATTTTAGGCAGACCGTAAACGAACTGAATGAATATGAAAAGAGGTTTATTCATGTTCGTTTGTTTAACTTAACCGAACAAACGAACGAACACGAATGGTAAACGAACGAAAATCTTTGTGTTCGTGTTCGTTCATTTAGAAATAAAGTGTGTTCGTGTTCGTTTATATTCGTTTTTTAACATGCTAAACGAACGAACATAAACGAACGGGTTAAACGAACATAAATAAATATTATTTGAATTCAAAATAATAAATAAAAGATTATATGTTAAATTAATATATAAACGAACGTAAACGAACGGTAAATGAACGAACGTTCACGAATATAAATGAACGAACGAGACTCTTGTTTATGTTCGTTCGTTTAACTAAACGAACAAAAAAAATATCCATGTTCGTTCATTTATTAAATAAACGAACTTAAACGAACTTCCCGCCGAACAGTTCACGAACGGTTCGCTGAACGTTCGGTTCATTTACAGTCCTAGTTCTAGAGTTGTCAACTCGTGCAATGTATCGAGATACATCTTGATTTCAGTATTTTGTTTTATTTATTTTTTATGTCGATATAATATGGTTTTATATGGTTTTGAGAAAGTGATAATGTTTTTATTTTTGAATAAAATATAAATTTAAAAACATTATAAAATTTTGAAAAAAAATATATACCGATATCAATATCAAATTAATCTTTTTAAAAGTTCTTGTGTTTTGATGTAAATTTTTTAATTCAATTTTTTAATTATAATTTAATTTAGGTTTAATAATATAATTTTTATAAAGATAATAACTAAAGTATTCTGTCAGAACTCAATGATTATCTTAATTGTATTTTAGATTTTTTATATTTAAAATGAGATGTTTATCCAGTATTTAATCATGTTTATCTGCAGTTAGTTACATGAATTCAAATATGAAGCTTTAATATGTTGTACTTATGCACAATTTACTTGTAATCATAAATTTTAAGTAATATGCATCAATAAACAGTACTTCGTGAATAAAAATGGTTTTTAATAGTTTTTGTCAAATGGTTTATAATATAGTATATCGGCTTATTCCCCAGATACCGTCATTGTTTCTTCTGAAATAGTATTTCTCCCCCAAAAAGATTTATCTGCCACATTTGAATTCACAACCAAATGTTAGAGATTGATAGAAAAGCAAGGATATGGGTTCGTACAGAACCGTACATGAGATTTTCACCTCCCTTCAAGTTTACCTACTATGGTACCGGAATGAATAAAAAATCTTGTATTTTTTTCTTCGGTCACTCAAGAGTATTTAGCCTCCATTTTTCGGGGTCTCAAAACTACCACTTGGATCTTGAACCTACATGCTGATGTAGATAGGGATCACATAAAAACTTCATTCGAGGAATGATTTTGCATTTTTTTTTTTTTTCATATTGAAAAAGTATATAGATTACACTTCTAGTCACTGTGGTTGCCATTTTGTTTCACTTTTGGTCTATCTAGCTAACTGCAGTTAAAAGAGCAGGTTAACTCAAGGGTGTTTGTCTTTTAGTCATTTTTCTATTTTATATATATGTGTGTATTATCGACATTATTATTACAGTTGTTAATGACGCGACATCAACCGCCGACAAAGACATTAAATTAATAAAAAGAATTTCTTGGAGCGAATGCAAATTAGAACTAAAATCACAATGTTTGTGATCAGCAGACTTGGATCGGATGATTGCAGAGTTATAAGTAGAAACATGTTGAGCATGAGTAGCCTCACTGTTTAATTGATATGCTAAGACATACTTACCTAACTTTGAGTCGGCAACAGATGAAACAGACAGAGAATGTTTATGTCCCGAGAGCGAAAGGTCACGGCTAGGTTCCATATGCCTGAATAACCGCAAACAACGTTCTTGATCAGAAGAAGATTGTGAGATCCAGACATCACAGTTTCTAGTAACCCCCGTTGGGAATTTAGGGATTGGTAAGGGACGTCCAGGAGCATTATACATAATCTCAAGGTGGACAAACTGATTTAGATGATTGTTTTGGGTCTGGTTTTAAAACATATAATCTCAAGCAAAAGCATACACATAAAGAGATCTTAATTATGCACATGATGGTTCCATTGAAGTATGTTGCTTAATCGTGTGTGTATTAAAAGCCCTTATACTTGATTACATTCACATCAATATGAAAATGATGAGATCTTGTTGCATTTGTGGATTGTACTAGCAGTTGAGAATGTCGTACCATTACAAACCATAAACGCTTTCGTTGACAACACCCACCATCTATGGTTACAACACCACCAATTGGAGATATAAATTTACCAAATCCAAAACCAAAAACCCGAATCGTGGTGATAACTTTTTGTTATCCTAAGACTAGTGAATCCAAACCTAAGCAAATCAAAGACATCCAAACCTAAACCAAAAAATCCAAATTTTCTGTTTAAATCTAATTTACACGACTCCCAACGGGTTACTATATCACACACAACAGTGCAACACTCGGACGAAGCCACATCAAACCAAAAAAATCAAACACAGATCTTGAAAAAAAAAACCGTAAATCGATGATAAAAATGAAAGCCCAAATTGAAGGTCAATGCAGTTTTAAACCGATCTTAAATCAAAACTCCAAATCATTGCTACTATGTTGATCTATCTTGTTGCTCTTTCTCAATCTCCACTCTTTCTCTCTTGCTTCTGCAAACAAACCCCAACAACCCATTTGCATGAGTATTTGCAGAAGCTTGGCGGAGGAGATGGAACAATGTGTGGGTTTATAAAATAGGAGAAAATGTTTTATTTTTAAATTAAGGGAAAAGTCTAAAAAAAACCAATGGACTTTAGTGTTTGAAATGTGGACAATTTTTTGGAACAAATAAGTCATTGGACATTCTAAAATATGTTAAACAACTCCTTGGACTTTCTAAAACCAGTTATATACATCCTTATTACCTATAAAACTAATTAATGTAGTAAAATAATGGGAAAAACATGAAAAAAGCTAATGAACATTCATATTTTGAGCGATAAATTCCCTAAACATTTTTTTAACCAAAAAAGTACTTACATTATATAAAATAAAACAAATATACCAAAAAGTACTTACGTTTAAAAAAAATTATTGATGAAATTTATTTTAATTAAAAATGAAAGTTATTATGTCAGTAATTTTTCAAATTAAAAAAAAAGATTTAAAAAGGATTACTGATTATATATATATATTGATTAATCTGGATATCCAACCCGCTATGCGAGCCGACTAATCCCAGGACGACCACCTACTTTATATTTATTTTTAATTAAAATGAAATATATTTTCTGTTTGATTTTTCAGATTAAAAAAAATAAAAATAAAATTAAAAAATGATTACCGATGAAATTTATTTTAATTAAAAATAAAAATATATTTTATTTATAATTAAAATAAATTTCACTAGTAATCTTTTT